TCTTTATGCCTGTTATAATCCTGATAAATTGTTTCTATTTCTTACTGAACTAGTGAAACACATGACTGGTGAATCTTGTGAGATTTTTCTCAGTCTTCACTTCCTTTGATTTGTATCCTTTCACTCTGCTAAGTAGCTTTTCCTTGAAGCATCCTCCTGCCCTGACTCCTGTCACACCCTCTCTTCTGATAGTCTTTACCTCTTTGATCACTATTTATGTCTTTACTATCACGTCCTTTTCCTAGTTTCCAAATTCTCTTTTTAAATATCTTCTATTCTCTGTAGCCCAGGATTTCCAAGCATGCACTGGAACACGAGCTATGGGGAGGATGACAAGAGCTGTCCTAAAGAAAAAGAGTCCTGTTGTCCAAGAATTTTCAGAAACATATAGGTAATTAAACAGTTAAGTGTATATCTAGCCTTCGGGAAGTCTCAAAGCCTGTATAGTCGATGTGTATTGTTAATACTCAAAGGGATGTGTGAAGATATAGTATACCCAGTCTCTCAAACACATTGGATCATAGAACATTTCTCTTCATAGAATATATCAAGGGATCTTGATCCCACAGAAGCAATGGTGTGAAAACTGTACGTTTTCTAATTTTCCACCTTGACCTCCCTTCATCATATTACTCCAAAAGTTTTTTCTGCTATTGTATCCTCCAGCCCCCTTACTATCAAGAGAGAATAGATTATTTTTTACTCACTACCTCTATGCCATTCAAGCACTTACCTTTGGGAGGAATGAGGGGAAATGCCACCTTCTTCCTCAAGTGTTTCCAAATAATTCTAGGTGAAGGTACTTTTTCCCTCATCCAAAAGCAAGCGGAACACTCAAAAGTAATAGTTAACCTCTTGCTCAATATTGTTAGGGTATTTATCATATTAAACTTATTCTTGAGGTTATTAGCTTCTTGGGAACTGTGTCTGTAAATTTTGAACCAGCAAGGAGTGCTTTCAACTGCAGAAAATCCAAGCTCATCAATTGAAGGATCTCATGGGAGGGATGGCTATAATACTAGGTAGGATTTATATTCTCTTGGAACCTTTGCCCATAATGTTACCATACAGCAACTCAATAGCCCTCTTCACCCCAATATTCAAAGCTGCCATAGTTTCACCATAGCTGTTAGCAGATTCAATGACCAAATTAGCTAAACCATAACTGGACAGAAATGGAGGCCCAGAGGGCGGAGGCCATAAACAAAGTACCCAGGGGAATTCTGGCAAGTCCTGATCTTGAGGGCCTGGTGTTAGGGAGGGTTGAACAGCCGCAGTTGTCTTAAAATGCTTGGTGTGGGGAAAATTTTTCAAAGGAGGCTAAAAGAGAATAGATGGGAACAGTTTTGAATCAGATGGGATTTGCAATTGTGTCACAGAGCTGTGCTTCTCACACTACCTGTGGGGAAGACAAGGTGTGTTTTAAGGTTGTGTTTGTTGATTTCTTTGGTTTTAGTGTCAGTCCATTGTGAACTGATATTTTTATACAACAAACACAAATGAATAAAAAAATTAGATTTAAAAACACATACAAAATCATGCCCTGTTTTGTGATTATATTGAGCAGACATTAAATTACACTTCAAAATGAAGTCATATAGAGCCATGTTCAGTGGTTTATACAGCTGCATTCAAAACATCTCTGTCTCTGTTTCTGTCTTCAGACAGGTAATAAACAGGTCGCAGACTGTCACAGGCCTGTGGGCCATGCTTTGAGGAGGTAGCTTGTGAAACAGGTGTCTGGGCTGTTCAAGAAAGGTAAGCCAATGGGGAGACCCATACGTGGTCTTTGAAGCTTTTAGACAACTGATATATAAAGGTCTCCTGAAATATAGGAGGGTCTAGGAAGACAGGAAGGATGGAGAAAACAAAAGCTCTGCGCTCCAAAACAGCATCTCCAAGGGCGGCTCATGAGAACAGCTGAACACAATACAGCAAAGGAGAAACACAAAGCCAGCCCCACGCCATGCGCCGCCCCATACTTGCTCAGCCCAGCATAGCTGCTACACAGCCATCCAAAGCAAACACGACTCCCCCCATGGCAGACTCAACAGAACAAAATCCAACACCCAGAAACAAATTAGATTGCAAGCTCATCATGTTACACAGCCCACTGTTCTCAAATCCAGGACCCTGAATATAGTAACAGATGATACTATTAGCCAGCGCAGGGGTCCAATGCCAAAACCAAATAACTCATCGCTATAAAGCAACATGATTCTCAGAATTTTCCAGATCAACTACAAAAAAGACTTATGAGACTGTCTTCCCCATTAAACTAAACCTCACCCATGTCTAATTGCTGTGGAGATGGCTAAATCCTCCTCCCTTAGGCACAGCCAGCTTGCCTCTTCGATAGTCTAAGCCCTGGGGACTTCTCAAAGCCAGGCAGCATGTGGTCAGGTTGAAAATAACATGGAGCCTGGGGCAGCACATAAGGGTTTAAGGTCTGAGTCTGCCACCTGCTAGCTTGGTAATCTCCAGCAAGTCTACATCCACAAAACCAGACTCCAACAGCCACCTCCCTGGAAATACAACTGAAAATGCTTAGCAACTTGTAAAAAGCTATGTGGATGTTAGTCCTGACTACACAGAAAATAGCAGCTGAGACATGTTTTTAATGATGCCCCCTACCCCGCGCCTCCCCAAAGAGCTTTGTCTTTTACACAGCTCATTTCTTCCTCAGTTCAAATCACTTCCACATGTTCCACATTATCTTCCTGATGGTCCCAGTATCACTGGGATATAATAGGGATTCATCAGGTCACCTTATAGCTCACAAAAGTGCCACAAAAGATCTAAGGCACATCAGCAGTGACAACGATGACTTAAAAATCACAGGATGTTTGGCTAGAACTAACACGTCAGTTTTAGTTTGTGGTTTTCTTGATCCGGCTCCACCTTGTCTCACCTACAGGTCTCTGCAACAGGATGTTACTGCTCTGCCTTGGGTTTGGTTAATTCTCATTATTTCATATGCAAGAAACTTTGCTACTGCCACACCACTGTAAAGCAAAAGTGCACTATTTCTCCAAATATGTGTTTTGGTCAAGCACTTATTAATATACAAGTGATTTCAGGTCATGCAAATAGTTTGTTTCAGGTTGTATCTGGGTGACCTTAGGCAAATTACCTAGCAACTCTAAGCCTATTTCTTCAGTTATATCATTAATAAAACAGTCATACTAAACTCCTTATACACATAAGGCATGAAAATATATCAATGAGCATGTAAAGAGAATTTTGGGGAAAATTCCAGGTATTTTACGTACATTATTAAATTATAATGGTTACTATAGAATATGTAATTATAATATTATTTATTATTATTCATATTGTCTTATCCTAGAAAATAACAACTTGGTAAATGTGTCTTGCAATTTGTCAAGGAAAAATAGCTCTGGATTCATTACAAAAAAGAAGATTGGGGGCCTCCCTGGTGGCTCAAGGGGTTAAGATGCAGCCTGCAAAGCTGTCCTCAGCCTCTGCAGCTCGAGTTCAATACTGGGCCAGCCAGGGAGCAATCCATGTGGTGCAGTAGACACCTCCTGTCTCACCCGCTGCTCCCCTCAGCAGTGTACTTCCATCGATCTGCCTGTTCTGTTCCCAGCTCTGCCTCTAGTGAATCCTCTCAGCCCCCACACCTCTGGCCTATATGCTAGCTCTTATATGCATAAATAAATAAATCTTTAAAAAAATGATTGGGTACATATATTTTAGGGGAAAAAAGAAAATATGTGAATTCAATATAAATTTTGATCAGTGTTTTTAAAAAGTTATGGGAATTCTGGTGCCTGAACAGAATTCTATAGAATCTTAAGTCTTATACATTGTATTGTGAAGAAGAAGGTAGTATAGATAGTCTGGCAATGCATTATCTTCTGTTCCTGGGGAAAAATGATGAAATCCAGTCCTTGATTTTTAAAAGATATTACTATGAAGGTCCTGAATAAACACATGGTCATTTTCAATTAAAAATGAGTAAAAGAGAGACTCAGAATTAAAAATATGTTGCCAGTGTTCTCCTTTAACAACATTATGAAATCTCCCAAAAATGTAACTAAAATTTGACCAAATTTGGTCACATTTAGAGAAGATGACTTGCCTAGGAATCAGTTTGCTACAAATCATATTATTTCTCTGGAGGCCATTCAGATTTTAGCTAACTATATCATAATGCCACCAAGATCCATACAAGAACCCATGTCCCTCTACATTAAAAAATCTATGTGTAAATGGACAATTAAAAATGAGATATGATAGCACCATTTTCTGCCAGGAAAAATAGTGAGTATAGTTTTAGAGCAATGAACATCTTTGAATTCTGTCTGCAGCTTCAGAAGTTCTTATAGCTTGGATAATTTTTATCCTTTCATCATTAATTATATGCATGCTCTCAGATATTACAGATGGTTACCTAAAGAAACAAGTTCTTTCTTGCATATATATCTCTCCCCAGAATAGGTGCTAAAAGCATAGATCTGAACCTCCCTACACTGATATCACCTGTAAGCTTGGGTGTGAAACAGCCCTAGAGCACTTGTGGTAAGAAATTTAAAACTTGAAAGGCCAAACCTTACTCTTCAGAATCTTCTCTGTCAGAGTATTTCCTCTGATCTCCTTAAGTCTAAACCATTAAAATGACTAGATTTTCTTCTTTTTCTTTATTTTTCCTAATAATTGCTGCATATATAACTTCAGAGTGTAAGTATGTCCTATGCCTACCACATGTAAGCATTAAATGAATTTCTAGTGGCTGTATTGATACATTATAAACGAAAGTGACTTCCCAACTATTTCTGTCATTCTAAATTGTAATGTACAGTTGTTCCTCAGTAAAATTATAATAACTAGAGAGTGACTGTTTTTTAATCTTTAAAAATGATATTGTGACTGTCAAAAAATAACTACATGAAATAATTTGGGTTTTCATTTAAATGTTGTGGTTTTCTTTTGTAGGTTTCAACATGGAAATTATTGGAGGGAGAGAAGTATCACCCCATTCCAGGCCATTCATGGCTTCCATCCAGTATGAGGACATCCACATTTGTGGAGGTGTGCTGATCCACCCACAGTGGGTGCTGACAGCAGCCCATTGCCACCTCAGGTGAGTCCCTGCACTTTTCAAATCCTGTTTTTCCTTCCCATCACCTGGAAGAGAAGTTTGCCTCTCCCAGGAGAGAATTTGGTCTACATTAGCTTCTATGATCACTGACCAACTGGTGTTTATTTACCTTCCACACATTCATGTTTTCTGAGTTTTGTTTTCAGGAAGAACTGGGCTACCTTTCCCAGGCCAGCCATTGCACAAATTCAAGTCCGCCATCTAATGCCAGGGAGCACAGCAACAGTAAAAATTGAAGCAGCCTTGTTCCTGACTTGTTAAGTCATACTCCTGAGAAAATCAGACAATCTGAGCTGGTTCTTTGCACCTTAATTTCCCCCATTTTACAACTGGGTGATAGTAATAGTTATACCAGCTTCATGGGGTTTGAGAATTAAATATGTTGGCATGCTTGAATATAGTATGTACAAATAATAATAAGTTACAGAAAGTGATGATGCTGATGATGCTGATAATGATGAAGACATGGTGATGAGAAGCCTGCTTTTCTAATAGGTCTTTATACTCTTTCCATTAACTCCTCCCATCCCACCATCCTCCCAGAGGTCTAAGACCCACATTTTGGGAATCACAGCTGTAAAGGGCAACAACTTTCCCAAGTGAAGACAAAGTTATAGATGATTTACAAGTACAGAGAGATTTTTTTCCTGTGGGATACGTAGGATGAAGCTTTTCTGAAGACAGAATGTAGCTCTCAAAATCTATTTCCACCTATGATTCTCTTGTTTCAGCTAAAAAGAAATACAAAACTCTTTTGGGGTTCTGCAACAATCACAAAAGGAAAAGCAATAGAAAATGTATTTGATGTTTGTTGTTGGGTTTGGGGGAGAATTTTGGAGAGACAGGGGTTTTGTTTGTTTTTACATTTCTTCTTTAGGTTTCTTACCTAAATAAGCTAAGAAGAGATGGGCCTTCTCCTGTCCTTCCAAGGCTTATAGCTCTTCCCTTAAGATCTCATTTTGACCAACTGAATTGACTTCTCCATATTTTGGGGGTTTTGTTTGATTGGGCCCGTATTTTTTTTCCCTAAAGATTTATTTTTATTTTGCATACAGGACAGGACAGGCAGATCTACTGAAATACACTGCTAAGGGGAGTAGTCAGTGGATGAGACAGAAGAGATCTGCTGCACCATATGTGGGTTAGCTCCCTGGCTGAGGATCAAACTCAGGCTGTAGCAGTGCTAGTACTGAGACTTAACCCCTTTGCCACAGGATTGCCCCATCTTAATGAGCTTGTCTGAAGACAAATTGGAAATTTTGAAGCCTGCAAATTGAGAACTTCTGTTTTTTTTCTCTAAACAAGGCTGCTTCATTTAATTGGGTCACAGAAAACACCCAAGCGTTCCCTTTATTGTTGTTCTTTCCCCGTCTGTGGGAAGCCATTTTAGTTTTAGTTTACCATTTTAGTTTACCAAAATTCTCTCTACCTCCACCCTTGGGAACCAGCTAGGCCTAGAGTGAACAACAACATTCAATTCAAAATATGCATATCTGGGCCTCCCCGGTGGCGCAGTGGTTGAACGCTGAGTTGCGAAGCTGCCCGCAGCCTCTGCAGTGCCGGTTCGATCCCTGGCTGCTCCCCAGCCACCGGAGGAGGGTCCTACATGGCGCACAGACCTCTCCTGCCGCCCGCTGCTCCCCTCAGCAGTGTATTTCAGTCCTTCTGCCTGCTCTGCTCCCCGCTCTGGCTCTGGTGAATTCTCTCACCCTCCCGCGCTTCTGACTGTACCCAGTGCTTGTATGTATAAATCAATCAATCAATCAATCAATCAATCAATAAAATAAATCTTTAAAAAAAACAAAATATGCATATCTTTAAATATGTGCATATTCAAATGGACTTGACACAGAGTTTGGCTTAGAAATGCTCATCAGATGCTACATGGAAAGAAGGAATTAATTGGAGACTTTTTTGGGTTTGGGGTTTTGTTTTGCTAAGCCAAAAGCAGTGGGTAAATTCCATCACAAACCATAACTTGCTATCCAAAGCTAACTGGTATTACTAAATTGAATTTAAATTTTATCAAGTGAACTTGACTCAAGAGACATGGGTTCCTAAATTGCCCAGTTGGGGAAAAGAGATTATAGTAAGGCTGGAGAAAAGTCAAAGGGTTAAAATAAATTCCTATTGCTAACTATCATTTTAAATAGCTGGAGTTTATAAAGAACTGCAGAATATGTCAATCAAATTTCCACTACGGGACACTTGGGTGTAAAAAATGTAGGCAGACTGGTGCTTAGAAAAATATAAGCTTTATGAAATCCCAAATATTTATGAAATACTTCAGTGGTAGCTTCCCACAAATGTCCTCCTAAATATCCTGTGGGAATAGCTTACTCACCCCCTCTCTCAGCAAAATGGTGAAGGAGGTGAAATCTGAGGTGCTCCCTGATCGCTGCCTTTCCACCCAGTTCCTCACTTAGTAATCTCAGCCCCTTTATTCCTTACCATGTAAATTATAAAAGGAAAACTGGTTCAAAAAATAACCTCTGGATGATCCTATTTTTAGCATTTTAGTTTACCAGAAGCAAAATTCTCTCCACCTCTGTTCACTGTCCTTCCCCAGTGCCTTCCCTTCCTGAGCACACCCCTCCTCTCGTCTGCCCAGCTGGTGATTATCTGGAAGCCCCCACCACCCCTCCCTTACAAATCCCTCAAGGCTTCCAAAATAGAATGGTTAAAAATTTAGGCCCTGGATTCAAACCAACTGAATTTTGATCCCCCTGCATTTACAACCTGGGGTCTCTGCTTAATGTCTGTGGGACTTCTCCAGTTTGTTAATTTACCTGAGCCTCAATTTCTTCATTTACAAAATGGACATAGTCATTATACCTGCATCACAGGGCTGTTGTAAGGTTTAAGTGAGGGAGAATATGTGAAATAATTAGCACAAAATCTGGCACACACATAATTTAGCATGTGTCACCTGATGCTGTTATATTGTTTTCTGTTCCTTCCATGATAACGACTGAGGAACAAATCTGATAACTGGTCATGCTGAGGAGCAGGACAGGACTTACAGAGGAGTCTTGGAATAGTGCCAGACTTGGAGTCACAAAAGCTGGGTCCTGGGGGCTTCTCTGGTGGCACAAGGTGTTAAGTCTCAGCACTATGGAGCTATCAGCAGTCACTGCCGCAAGAATTCAATACCCTACAAGGGAGCTGACCCATACAGCACAGCAGACGTCTCCTGTCTCGCCCGCTGCTCCCCTCAACAGTGTATTTCAGTGCGTCTGCCTGTTTCTCTCCCCACTCTGTCTCTAGTGAATCCTCTCATCTCCCACACCACTGGCCTGTCCCCCCACACACACAGCTCTTGTATGCATAAATAAAATAAATCTTTAAAAAAAAAAAAAACTGGGCCCTGACTCCCCTACGTGTGATGTGTATCACCTTTGAGAACAATTTCACTGTCAGGGTAGGTAGCCCATAGGCTTGCCAACACTGAGAGGGTTGTTCTCAGGCTCAGTGGAGACAATGCCTTTGTCTGCCTTCAGCATCAAGAGCATGCTGTAGCTCTGCTGCATGTAGTTCTGCTCCAGGTAAGTTCAGGGCAGAACTCAGATTGCTGCATCTTAAATAAATACTTCCAGATGATTCTGAAGTGGGTGACCCAAAGACCACCTGTGGAGAAACACTGTGCTGGACAAATAAAGGACTCTGGTATTCTTCTTCTTCTCTGTGTGGATTCAGACCTGGGATTACCTAAGGAAGTGGGATCCTAGGAGTCAGGTAATTCCAGGTATCCTGTGGGCAGAAAAATTGACCTTTGTAGGACAAATTACAGTCAAAGGATCTCCAAAAATGGAAAGATTAGAAAGTATTCATGGTCTGCTGGGGTGTATGGTATACTAAAATGGACCAGTGGAGATGAAAATAAACAAATACTTCAAAGGTATTAGCTAATGAAGGAAATTGGCAAAAGATGAGCAAAGACCAGAAATTTTCTCAGAACCCTGTCCCTAGTCAGAATTCGTCTTATACACCCTTCCTTGTGTTAGTTACTAGGTACCTCTCAGCCTTCCTTGTATCAGTTATTTATACATGTATCTGTCTTTTCTCTTCGGCATTAGTCCCAAGGATTTTATATCATCCTTCTCCTCCAAAGTTTTGGGTTTAGTGAGTATGTTGACCTTGAGTTTGAATCAATCCTAGGAAATCTGATCCACATTATATGAGAAATTTCATCCATATCCTGATTTTGCAATAGGTAAACTTTTCAACAAATTGAGCTGGAATTCCCAAAAATAAATGAGGGAAAATAAACTCTTTTGGTCAAAGCAAAATGTGGTCATTCCCAGGGGTTACAGGCCTGCCAAATGCAAGTTCACCCCACCATAGTCATGTGTTTGCTCCCCAAAACTGAAACAACTTTTCTTCTTTTTTCTGTATGTTCTGTGCTCTTTTGCGTTTTATTAACCTTTATTAATCTATTTAAATGATATGTAGACTTATGTTGTAATCTTTCTTTTTTAATTTTTTTTTTTTTAGAGAACGCATTTGTTTATTTATTTGTTTGTTTTTTAAGATTTATTTATTTATTTATATGAGCACTGGGTACAGTCAGAACTGCGGGAGGGTGAGCAAATTCACTCGAGCCAGAGCAAAGAGCAGAACAGACAGACTGACAAAATACACTGCTGAGGGGAGCAGCGGGCGGCAGGAGAGGTCTGCGCACCATGTGGGACCCTCACCTGGTGGCCAGGGATCGAACTGGTGCTGCAGAGGCTGCGGGCAGCTTCACAACCCAGCGCTCAACCGATGCGCCACCAGGGAGGCCCCAATGTTGTAATCTTTCTTGATGTCTTTTTCAATTGACAATGAAATAGTTAGATGTAAACAAATAAATGGAATTCTTTTTATAACCTTCCTTGTTCCAAAAAAGAATTTGAAGTGGATTCTTAAAGACACACATTAAAATAAGATACTTTTTGAAGTATGAAAATAGCTCCAAGGTGTTGTCAAGCTCTCCAAAATATCATTTTTATTTTCATAACTAGATGCATATGTAATTTCCATTATTCAATATATAATAAGCCAGACAAATTATGGCACTGTTGACACTCTGTACCTGGAAGGTATATGACTAAGTATTTTTTTAAAACTATTGTCTCTTCATCTAATTCACTGGTTTGTATCCTCCAAATCTCCACAATGGAATTATCATTGGCTACTAACACTAATATATGTTCATTTCAAATTTTCAAATTAACAATGATTTTTCACCTTGAAGAAAGTGTTCCTTTCTTGTTCACATCATCTTTCTAATTGAAGGGGCAAAGTACATGGGCATATTTGATAGCCACGTAATGGACTTTGCCTCACCTGTTGACCTGAGCTGGGGTCTAGACATACCAGATTAGCAAGTGTAGAGTCTTTATCTTTTCATTCTTACAACACTTAACATTGGAAAAATGAAATAGTTATGGAGCTTTGTAGTGGTAATGGTTGAACAACAATGTAAATATCCTTAATGACACAGGATTGTACATTTGATAATGATGACAATCGTACATTTTATGTCATATATATGATCAACTAAGAAAACTTAATAATGGAGGGTAAAACTCAGAAGCCTAAAAAGTATCTTTTCCTCATTTTTACATAAATTAACACAAGGTTGTTGTAAACTTGATGTAATTAGGATTTCACCCCTTTTTTTCACCACAGTGTATAAATTCTTATATTCTTTTGCAAAGCTGGGAAATTAGAAGAGGGTGGATTTGAGAGCAGGCTATTTGGCCCTTGATATCATCCATTCATGCTGGGTCCACTGAGAACTAACCCTAAACAGGTTACCTGCCCCTGTATGCATGCATTTGGCCCTATCTGCCACTTTCTGTCCCTCACTGGAAGATTTGGAAATCATTCCATTGATTTTATTCTCTTTGCATTTTTAGGTTTGCCAGACACCAGTCTTCCAAAGTGGTTTTAGGAGCACACTCCCTCTCAAGGAATGAGGACTCCAAACAAACATTTGATATTAGAAAATTCATACCATTCCCAAAATTTGATACAGATCCTAAAGCAAACGATATAATGCTGGTTAAGGTACGTGATATTACCTCCCTTCAGTTTCTCCAACATTCTTATACAGCATAGTTCAGTTGTTAAGTCATCTACACAAAGTATTTAATTAGTCATTTCCCCAAGTTTGAGGTGATTGTGACATATTCTATAAGGACCCACCTTATGCCATCTGTTGCCTTGAAAGAAATAAGAATAGATCGTAAATGCATCAGGGCTATGTTTATATAAGCAAAACATCTCTGACACATATCTGGGAGGGGAACATCCTGACAGATCCAAGGATCTATGCTGAAAAATTTTTCCCCAAATACTTTCATCATTAGCAAGTGAAAAATACAACAGAGCCAACCAAGTGACTTCTGGAACTCAGAAGTGAGTTACAACTTAGTCTAGACCATACTCAGTGTAGTCCAAACTCACTTTAGACCATAATCAAGGGTCCTATCCAGCAGGAAAGAGCCCAGCCCTCAAAGTCATGACCTATGGATGTTGTTCCACAGAAAACCATCCAATGCAGGGCAAAGGCCAGTTAGCTTGAGACTGTGTGAAATTCCTGCTTTGTGTAAGCTCCCTCCTCAAGCATCACTGAGCTCTATGGGGAATGGAGAGCATGTTCAGAAAAGCAACAAATGCAGCTGCAGGCTACCACCAAAGTAGATTCAAGAAGAGGGGCAGCCCTCCTAGAAGAGAGGGACCACACATACATCACTTCAGCTCATAGCAAAAAACTACTGGAGATAAAGGATAATTTACTCTCTTTTCCATCTGTCAGCTTCACATGGCCGCAACACTTAACGAGCATGTCCAGCTGCTCCCCCTAAGATCCAAAAATGATATTAGAGCTGGAACAAAATGCCAGGTTACTGGCTGGGGAACCACCGACCCAGAAGCGTTACTCCCCTCTGATACCCTGCAAGAAGCCACTGTTACCATCATCAATAGAAAACTTTGCAACAGCCGGAGTTATTACAACCACAAGCCTATTATAACTAAAGATATGTTATGTGCAGGAGATACCAGAGGCCAGAAGGATTCCTGCAAGGTAAGAACATTTCGCTCAAACAGACTTCTCAAAGTGCTGTATGCAGCCCAGGCTCCTCTGGCTGGTTAGCACAGGGGAGAAGGGTGGAGAACACAAAATCACCGTCCCTGCCCAGGGTTCTATTCTTTTTCATCAATCAGTATGAATAAAGACTTCCCTAATGCCAGAGGCCAGCTCCAGCAAAATGTTGTGTCAGGGTCCCCACAAGGACAAGATGGCGTGGGCGAAGTGAAGGGATGAAGGGAGCGGGGAGATGAGGTAGATGAGGTAGTGAGGAGACACTGACACTTGATCAGGGTGCAGACATCTCCTGCTGAGGGTCTCAGTGGGTCTTTATTTATACATCAGAAATTGTTATTTGATCATTACATCATGCAATCGTGTGATTTTACTTATATTGTTTTAGGATTTATTAATGATCATTAACAGTGCACAATCCTTTTTTTAATTCTCCTAGTCTATGATTAACTTGGTAACTTGGTTACCTTATTTCCCTAGGTGATGAATGTTATTCAGAAAATAGAAACAGGTGCTACACACAACGTGATTTATGCAGTCAAGCTAGGCAACTAAAACAAGGCTAAGCAGGCATTGTAAAATCGAGGGCGGCTTCCTATTTTCTACATAGAACCAAAGGGTCCCGGTGCCGTGGGAACAGTATGTGGTGTGTTTTTCTCGGACCATTTCGCCTCCCGGGGTGCCTCAGGGCCTTCTCTAGTGGCGACTTTTACCGGGTTCAGTTCCATCAGTTCTATCAAGCATGGTTTGTTAGAGAACTCAATGTTACTCATGGTAACTGAATTACAAATTGGAGGACATGGAGAAATATTGGAAACCGTTTCATTATCAATCATGTTGGAAGGTATTTTTCTCAAACTACTGAGGTGTGCATTACTGAAACTAGCATTAATGCCAACACTCATTGTGTTATTCTAAAGCTTATAGAAAATTTCCATGGCTTCAATAACTGCCACAAACAAATGAAAGGAAGTAGCAGGAGCCAGCTGTGGAGTATTCTGACTTTTCTGAAACTTTCCTCATGCCCAGACTTTGTCAGGCAGCATGAATAGCATGGCCCAAGCCACCCTAATACATAATAAGCACTTATTAAATGTTTTTAATCAGCTACTAGACTACATCTGATCAGTTGTTAGATTTCCTCCGGGAATGTCACCATCCTTAGAAAATCTACCAATTCAGGGAATAGGTACTGGTGATTAATGGTGAAGTTCTCCAAAACAAGAACCCTTTTTACATTAATCAGTAGAGAGGTCTGATAAGACTCAAATGCACATAGCTCAAATATGCAGTATGTGTGTCTTAAATAATGTTGACTGACTAAATGAATAACTTATTTTTCAAAATCTATTCTTTCCTAAGGTAGTACCAAAAACAACAAAAAAAAAGAAGTGTTCATGTTTATAGCTGACAAATAGGCAGCACAGAAGGATTACTAAACTTTTAAAAATTAGAATGCAATCTTCTCATCATACTATATGAAGCATCATGGTAGAGGGGAGAGGGATGATCATAGGTGGTTTGCACCTCCCCTATTGTCACGGCTGATCAGAGCAAAGCCGTCTAGTTTGCCAGTTTGTGAGCAGCAGGAGAGGCAAAGGCTGCTCTTCAGATTTGAAATTCTATCTCCTCTTACTTCCCCAGACAGAACTTTAGTTACATGTTTTGCTGTCAGAGTGCTCAAAAACCAGTTCCCTAAGGGAGTGTCCACTAAGGGTAGTGCAAATGCATAGCGCCGTGTTCAATCATGAAGGCTGCAAAAACGGGAGAAAATAGAGAAACTTGAGTCCCTATCATCAGGACACTTGCTACAAGATGTTTCTCTTTTCTACCAGTCTCAGTGGCAACTTGATTTCAGGTCCATTGACACCAAGATGAAATTTGAGATTTAAAAAAATGTCTTTAATTTCAGTTATTTGCATTTTCAGACATGAGTATTTCATCTGAAAGGGACACTTTATACCCATTCCTTAATAAATAAAATTCAATAGTCACTGATTATCAAAGGATATATTTATATAGATGGAGTCCTACATGGAGACAGGGACACAATGAGAGACAGATGAACAGAAACCTGCACTGGGCAAGGGAATGTGCCAGACACTCTTCTGGACACAAAGTAAACCAGGACCCCCAAAATACTCCTCTGAGTAAGGAACAGTTGGTGGTGGGAAAAGTTCAGCATCTTCTCACCAAGTATCTGTCCGTTTTCTTCTTTCCAGGGTGACTCGGGTGGCCCCTTGGTCTGCAAAGGTGCCTTCTCCGCCATAGTCTCTGGAGGTCATAGATGTGGGGACCCCCGGAAACCTGGAGTCTACACCCTAATAAACAAGAAATACCAAGTTTGGATCAAAAGCAAGCTTGCCCCATCTCATGCACACTGAGAATACAAATTATTTTCTTGGATCTACCAGTTGCTTTTTTTTGCTTGTGTTTTGTTTTGTTTTTTCATCACGTAATCCAACAGGCTTTATCTTCCTCTGTAATTGGATGTGGTCGGAGAAGAGCACAACTGGGCTCCATCTCTGCCCCTTGATGTGAGAAATCAAGTTCTTTTTCACATGTATTGCCAATATATTTCTATTATGCTGATTTCATTCTGAATAAAATTTAGAAAACTATCATTTATGGAAATAAATACAGCAAATAAGTTCCCCTTCTATTTTACTCACACTCTCCAAAGGGACAAAGAGGTGACTAAACAAGACAATAATGGCACCACATTCAGCAAATTTATGTTGTGATATCTGCTGGACCCACCTGAGCTAAGTTTTCAAAATGAGTAATAGTCCGTTCAATACCCCATTTGAAAGTGAGACAAGTTAAGAATCACCAAAGTTTATAGAAGCATTTGGGAGAATATTATTTATTTATTCAACAGGATTTTAAAGCAATGTACAAAAACCCCTTCAGTAAAACAAATATGAAGTCAAAAATAATTTTATGAATAAATTGAGACAAAGGAAGAAATGAGTAAAAAGAGACAATGAAGACATGAGTGTTTTTAATACTCTAAGTGCCATAATTTTCCTCCTACGCATTTGGCGCTTGTATTTTACATAGTCAATGCAAAACAATCAACACAAGTATAGAGTAGGGCCATTGGAGCTGGAATTGTAACTAGAGAAAGAGAAATTTCTGTCATTATTCTTTTAAGAGGGACACCGTGCCTGCCCCTACCAGGATCCCCTGAGAGGAATATTTGCTGCGCAGATGACAACTTCACACATCAGCATCTGAGCAGCCTTCACCTGCCCTCCCCCAAAGCCACACTATCACCTCACCCCTATGGCCCCTCTTCCTCACCTCCCTTCTAGAAACTGCTCTATTTTTTTCAGTCTAAGTGTCATTTTTGTTGTGTTTTGCCAATTTGTTTCCTTGGTTATTTATATTCCACAAATGAGAGAAAACATCAGTAATTGTCTTTTACTTTCTAACTTATTTCACTTAGGATAATCACCTCAAGGTCCCTCCATATTGTCCCAGAAGTTGCTATTTTGCCTTTTTTAATAGCCAAGTTGAATTCCATTGAGTATACAAACCGCAATTTCTTTGCCCATTGACTATATTTTCTTTAACTTTTAAGTGTAGTACCTTAGGAAGGAGATTGTAGAGACTCTGGACTCACCACTTATGTATTGCATCTAAATTTCAAATCCATGGAACATACTAATGTCTCTTTCATCAAACAAAAGGACCATTGAAATTTCCCTGAATTAGTGAAGACTCCTAGAAAGTTGTCCCTAAAACCTGAGAGTTGTGTTTTCATTTTATACTCTGTGCAGTTCACATCCAGTTGTCAAACCAGATCACATTGCCAGCAACAAAGCTTCTGTTAACAGCTATAACTGATCTGGAAGCTCTGAAATTGGAAGATAAACAGTTTATTTGGACAAGCAGCTGATGGTGGAGCCCACACATGAAAAGCACCCTCATCCTTCCAGGGAAGTAGCATTTTATAAAACATCCCAATGCCTTCCCAACATAACCTAAGAGAATAAAGTGTTTTAGTTTGTGGTGTTCTGGCTTTGAGAGATTATTTTATTCCATTCGTGGTCTCAAAAAGAAGTTGAAAGTCAAAAATGGGGTTAATATCCAAATTCGAAAACTGCCAAAGATCTTAGGGAGAAATGGTTTGCTATTGTCATCCTGAAATACCCCACTTTCTCCCTTCATGACTGTGGACAGAGCACATTTGCCTTCATCATAGACAAAGAAAAAAGTATGTTTTATTTCATGCCCACCCAGTTTTAAATAAAGTGACAGTATTAAAAATAATTAGGTCCAAATATAATGCATGAATTAAATCAACATTAATTTAGGTGAGCAACTAAACCAGTCTAGAATTAGGTCGCAGAATTAGTCCTGCCTTCTGACTTTCATTGTTTTTGTACAAATAAGTCCCACCTTGAGGTGAGAGGAGGAACAGTGCTTTACAGCTTGAGGTGTCTCCTCAAAGGAAACCTATTCTTGGTCAACAAGAATGTTCTTCCTCTTTGACTAAGCTCTCAGTTTTGAACAAGACACACATGTGATGAGAGAAAAAGTGCTCAGTCTGGCAAACACCAATAAACCCAGATCTCTGGAGAGGCTTATATGTCACAAGATTACTGAGACATACCTGAGAATCTACTCATATTTGTCTTAGGATTTGAATCCTGAGTGCATGCTGATGAACACTTGGGTTCCTTGTGTCTTGAATGACTCAGGGCTGCTTTTCAACACATGAGCTTCCTGTTTACAAATATTAACTTCTTCAGGTTTTTTGCTGAGTCATATCAATCAACTCTAATTTGAAGAATGATAGTCCTCATCACCTTTTATGCGCTACCTAGAAAGGATCATGTTTATTTTCTGATTTTTAACCATAATTGTCTACCTAGCAGCCTACTAGCAGCAGCATATAAAGTTCACTGAAGCTTCTCCTGGGAACTTAGACATCAACAGAATAAAATGTCTCCTGGGAGTTAAAATTTAAACTACATCCATTTTGTGTTATAGCAAGGGTACTAAAATCACTCTGAAGAGATGGTGAGGTTCCCAAGCCTGCAAGACTGACTGTAAATTGCTTGAAGGTTAACAACTCTTAAGACCAGTGACCCAGCCAGAAGGGGAGGAAGACAGTCATGGGAAAAGGAGGCCACAGGTCAGTGAAGCAACAAGGATTGATGGGCGAGGGGAAGCGGTGAGTCCCCTGGCCTGCCTCTGGTCCTGGCGGTCTCGTTCGAATTTTAGCCAGTTCCACTAAACAGTCAGCTGGCTTCTGATACTGTGTTCACCACATAAACACCTGTGAGCATTTTACTTCCTGTGAGAGCTGTTATTGCAAGTTAACAAACATTTTGCTTTTCTCCATCTCTGATTTTGTTTACCTCTAGGTTGTGGTAATTTGAATTTCTCTTTGAAAGTTAAAATCACTCTTGGTGTGCTGGATAAAAGAAATCAAGTTTCAATGCCTACACTACTGAAAGTCAAACTCTGAATTTTGGCAAATTCACCAAATTGATGAAGATTAGTTACCCCATGAGCTTTCCGCTGGAGAGCCCTCCTGGCATCCCTGCTCTGGCCACACCATGGCATGTGCTCGTTTGTGAAGTGACTCTACTTATGTATTCCATTTGGTACTGTAAGGGCAGAAAATTTTTCGCTTTTTCCCTTTTGATTCTTTGGCTGGTCTAATAATTAAGTTAACATAAGACAGATTAATAGGAGAAAAATACATATATTTAGTTCCCTATGTACAGATGCATAAAAGATATGGACACAATTAAGGCTTATATGCCATTCTTCCCTAAATAATGTGATAAAGGGCCTGGGGCTTCAAAAGGGAGGAGGGAAATTCACAAGACAATAAGAGGAGCAGATTTTTGGTAAATATGCATGTGCCAGTAAGTCAGATAAAAACATTATCACTGGCAATAACTTTTTTTTTCCTGGTATAGGCCTTATCTAAATTCTTCTAACAAGTTAAAGGAGAGATAAAACTTTTTCCTGAGTCTGCCTGCCCTGATTGTCTTCATCTCAAAACAATCCATATGCCAAAGTGGTATACTTTGCAGTGCATATTTTTCCTTTCAGTCTATGATTATCCATAACTTCAAGAATTATTATGAATTTTTAGCTATAGTCTCATCAGTATCACTCAGTAGCAGAGATTGTTGGTTTGCTACTCAACAGTCATTTCCTCTAATCCCTGGTAACTATACTCAAGTTTTATTTGGGCCCACAAATGTAAAAGACAGTATTTTTCAATCTCTCCCTGCCAGAAGTGGTCAAGAAAATTTAAGTGACAATCATCGACTAGCAGCTTCCAGGAAATTCCTTTAAAGGGAGTGGATTCAATAGGAAGGAGAGCCATTTTTCCTTTTCTCCTTCCTGTTGTCTGGATTGTAGATGTGAAGGCCTGAACCCCAGCAATAATTCTGGAATCATTTAGTGTCATAATCCAGGACTGAAACTTTCAAGAATATCAGCTCCTAAAATCACTCCCTACTAGTAGGCTAGCAAAACTCGACTAGAAGGCAAGCATTAGTGACAAGGAAGAAGAAAGAAGTGGCTCAATGCCAATCTTGTACTCTTTTCCTGAGGATTTCTTTTACGTGGAAGAGAACAAACATATATATGTTTAATATGCTATTGTTTACCAAATTTCAATAAAATTTGAAAACCTAAAATTTATGTCCCTGATGTATGCTTCAAACAATACCAAGCAGGTATCTTATGCCCATATGCTAAGATCCTCCAAATCTCAATTGATTTTAGCTTTCTAGCTCACCTATTTTTAAAAAAGGATTGATTCAGAAATGTAACTATTAAGTGTTATAATCAATAAATTATTTTCCCCTCACTGTTCCATCCTGTGGCTTAACATGGAGAAAATACCCTGACTTACTTGAGAAGATATTTTTATCTTAATCACATACCCCTCTGTGACAGATATTCTTGTTCCTATTATAAAAATTATACATGCACTCAGTAGCCTGTAACAATATTTTTTTTCCTTTTGTGTATATTTTGTAAGTAGATCTTGTAGAACTGTTTTTTGTAAAGTTCCATGAAAGTAATATTTTCTGGCATTTGAGGTTATTATTTGTTTTATTATTTCACAATCACTTGAAATAACATAGTTGTTTTCCAAGCAAACTACAAAAGCAACTCCACTGGAAGATAGTTGGCTATAAGAATATTCTGAATATTAGTGGTATTGTAGAAAAGCAAAGCAGGCTCAATGTGGTCAAACAGTACATCCAGAGAGGCTTCTGAATCCTCACTATTGAATATCCAGAGAGATTCCCTTATTTATTCACTCAACAAACACTATTTGCCAGGTATTGTGGTAGTCATTAGAAATACCAAGAAGAAAAAAACGCGATGTCTATTCTTC